ATACAAATCAAATGAATAAAGTTCAATAACCAATTATTGTTCATTTCTTTTCTTGACTGTTCATTGAAACATATTTTGATATTTTTTAGACATCGGGTTCAGTGTCCGTTTATTCCGAACTTCTCAATACAAAGTTAATACAAAATTCACACAGGTAAACTTCTTGAACATATTAATATTCATAGCAAACATATGTGTGACAATTGCGAAAAATAAAATATTGCAAATTCATTCTTGTTTCTTTTTCAAATAAATTTACTTGTTAACTGAAGCACTGAATCGGTATATTGTATAATTCAATTAAATGAAATAAACCTAGTAACTATATATAGTCCACTACACAGGAAATTGGGTCTTGCTTTATAAAAAATATGTATATCCATCGATGTATAAAAAGAGTAAAGGTATGCAGTCTCCGTAATCTCGTCTGCTTCTTTCGCTTGTTTACATAGCTTGTTCTTTGAAAATGACGTTGCATCTACCAAACTTTATGCACGGGACGTCTAAGAATATTGATGACTTATTGTTAAAATCCTCAAATCTTGTAAATAATTCCAAATATACGATTTTAAGGTAGATCGCGGGTTTACTGTCTGTCTGAAAACGTACGCTGAAAATTTGTCAGCTAAATCCCTTCGTTTCAAATATTTCTTCCTGAATTTTTTTTTAGATTCGTCTGCGTGGTTATGTTGTAATCGTATTTCAAATGCACTAATGTTGATGAGAACAAGTGACGCTATTTCACGCCGTTATATGCATTTCAAAAACATGCTCATAATATTAAAATGAAGCAGACGAATTTTATATTACTCAACACAATGAATGTGAAGTAAATTTAGAATCGATCTATTAAAAAAATTAAAAATGTGTTCTAGCTCAATTTCTCACAAAAAACTTTAAAGTTTTACAATTTTCCATCAAACGTATTATATTTTCATCACGACATTAACTTACGTTAGTGCGACGTCATTCTTTTCGTATGCCTGTGTGACCAGAAAAAATATGAATTACTCAACAATTCACTCAAAATAAAGCATGAAGTCCGTAAATTCAATTTTTACTGATTGTTAATAATGTCCATGAATGTAAAAGTTGCCATAGTTTACCCACAGCGTGGCACTATTTCAATGAAACACAGGAGAGAAGTCATATAATTATTTTCTTCAATAAACTCAAGCAATGCGGAAAATTTATACAAAAAAGGATGTCTTATCTTAAGAGAAATTTGGTCAATTTTTGATCAGTTAAGCATGTTTGTTTTCAGCTTATGACTTCTGACTGAATCAAGTATTACAGTGGCGGATCCAGAAATTACAGAATGAGAGGGAGCAACTCTTGCCTTTACCCCCCCCCCCCCCCCCCCACACACACACACAACACTATTAGCAGGTCTAAGGCGAATCACTATTGGATGACATGCAAGAATAGAATGGGGGGGGGGGGGTTGTAGATGGCAATTTAGAACGTACATATATTTTATTTCATGATGTAACTAGTAACTACTTTTATTTCTTTTTTTAGAATCGATTACTACGAGGGGTTATCAAAAAGTTCGTGGACTAGCGCCATAGAATTAAAACCGCTTGAAGTACATCAATGAATTTTAAAATAATTAGTAAGCATAATCTTTTCTATCTATAGAATAAACCACAAATCATAAGTTTTAATTTTTAATAAATTAGTATTGGTTTTGTAAGCAATGGTATGTTCAGGCGGCGCAACCTCGAACAGGACGTTTTTTCAACCTAAGTGTAACTGAGAAAAACTCTTTTGATATGAGTACTTGACATCCAAAAATCCCATTAATTCAAACATGTGACGGGACACAATTGTTCCACAAAATGTGCAATTTTAATCTCATTCTGTAAGTTCTATGAAATTTTATGGTATATTTTAAAAGGAGTGCCCAAACAATTAAGGGCTTAAAATGACGTCAAAAAGGGGGAGGGGTTTCTTTTTCCAACATTCTGTAAAGTTTTTGCCCTGAAAAAACTGGTATTAGCCTAGGGAATGTTTAAACTGTCTATAGAGAAATAAAATCCATCCAGAGTACTTGTTTTTAAATACCAAAAGAGATTCAGTAAGATGAGAGATGCATAGTTAATGTCGATTTGTAGTCAAGGTGTGAAAAGTCAATCACGTCAAAGAGTAACGTTGATCATGTGTGGTAGATATTGAAGTCCATCAAGCAAAACATGCTGGCATAATCAAGCGAGAATCTTTCCCTATGTATAGATTCACTTACAATTCTATATGCATTGAAATCAGCTGTTCATGACATTGTCATGTCATATAAACCAAACAGATTTCAGTTTTACTTAACTCCAGGGAATCTCATCAAGATAAGTGTACTGAGACAGAGGGAGTGCGCATTGAGAAATAATGACGTTGTCGGACGTCATGAAACTAAAACACGACAGCGCCGGGTGATCATATAATATCTTCTTTATTTTAAAATAATTTCACTAATTATCAACGTATCAAGCTAAAATTTTCAATACTTCTTAAACTTTTGTTGTTTAATGTTCCTTATAAATTTTGTAAACACACACTACATAGTATTAATTTTATCGCATCAGTCCACGAACTTTTTGATAACCCCTCGTACACATAATTAAAAAACATCACCTCAAAACTATATCGATGAACGTCTCCCATGTTGAGAATTATATCTAATTCATCACTGACCCCCCCCCCCCCAAAAAAAAAAAGTAATTACATTTCAATATGATCATCCTGACTATTTTTTCCCATGCCTGTGCATGGCTCAGACAACAGTGTTGATCTTAAAAAATCAAATAACATAATTCACGAAACTGCTGCCAGTTTGATGTTGATGTCAAAGCAACAGTCCATTGTCATTTGTGTTGTGGCATTTTCCTGTGGGCACGGAATTCGTTTTGCTGCTCTTCTGACATTCTATATAGAGAATAGATGCCAATCCGTATTTTTTTTCACCAGAGCAAGAACAGAGATGTAAGGGTTCATTGCAAAATACACACTCTTTCAGTCCCTCTGAAACAATTTCAATTCAACTAATCGCCTCCCTGCCTCCCATGAATTTTCGTCCGTGCAGTGTTTTGCAATGCGGGGGCATCTTCCGTTTTTTTTCTTTGTGTTGTGTTTTTGTTTTAAAAACCAAGTTATTCAAGCTCGCTATCTTTTCTCATACACAAACTTTTCTTTATATTCATTGCGAAAAGGTTGTGACGATTTGTTGATTGTGATGCAATTTTGTTTTTAAAAATGACGTCATTTTTAAATTCCGCCAAAATAAATTGAATGACAATTATATATGCAAAGAATGATGAGTTATTGCGTTTTACTTTGATAAACAGAGTTAGTTTTAGCTCTTGCATTTTCCAACATAAAGAAAACTCTCAATTTAATTATTGTTCCATCCTTTATTTTCAATTATGAATGAATAAATATTTTACAGACAACACAAGCTTTACTGTATGTTTCATTTTATACTGTATACTGCGGAAGATATTTTTTGCTTGTTTGAAGTTTGATACGGTAAACACGATAGGTTTTATACGTCGAATCCTACTGTGACGTCAGCAAACCCGCGATCTACCTTAATACTCTTTTCAAACTTAGCTTTAACATCCCTGGAAAAAGTGCAAATTGTAAAACCCGATTCGAAACGACAAATCAGACCCTTTAGACAGTTATAAATTCTTTAGGCATTCCAGGAATTTAAATATCATTTGAAATATCTCAGAACTATTTTTAATTTTCCCGGAATACCTAGTGCCTGTGGTCCACTAGATGCACAAATCTAACTCAATTAAAAAGATTTTCTTTTCCTCACATGAGACCAGATGTATTTTCTCTTAACTGAAAATTAAAAGAGATAAGTCGATAAACGAAATTCCTGTATACCTCATTTCAAAGAGTGTATATATATGTTATTTATTCATCAGATGAAAGATGTGAATAATAACAGAGTCTAACAAATAATTTCCAAAAAAAAAAAAAAAAAAGATTATAATATACTGCTCTTTGCATTATAATTTTAGAAAATAGTAAACATTATATGATAATATAAAGAAAATCTGTGAAATTGGTCACTGATAAACAACAGAATAACCAGTTCAGTAAATAACCTTACCTTCAAGGTTTTCAATTGTTGTTTAAGACGGGAGTTTTCCTTAGCTAACAGTTCTTTTTCTCTCTGTAAGTTGCTTTCAATGAACTTTAAAAAGAAAGACTGTTTATCGAAACACAGCCTATACCTAAATTAAGTAATGTCAAGAAGACTATAAACTTACATTCTCTATGTTGAAAAATAATTGTTAAAGGGGCCTGGACACAGTTCCATTGTTTATATTTTAAATTTTTATGCTTATTCAAAAAAAAAAAAGTTAAATGAATTGAATTTACATAAATATTTTTAGAATTCAAGGACAACGACATTTTTCTTTCCCTAACGTCAAACATCTGTTTTTGTAAACAGGGCATTAGCTCTGTTATTCTTAATTTACGTTTAACCGGGTGTGTTCAATTTGTTAAACTCTGCACACATCACTGAGCACTGACTGACAATACTATGAGTTGTTTTTGCTTTCTCAAATTTCTACGCTGCATTTTTTCGATAAAAGTTTTGATATTTTTCATTAATACACAACAAAATTTCTACTTTTCAGAAGTATTAAGGATAAAGTTTACTTTCAATTGTGAAAGTGCACGGACGTGTTAATCAAACTCGTCCCTAAATTCGTAGTTTCAAAAATTTCCAGATAAGGTGCTGGACACGCTTTTATAATATTTCCGTATGAAATGCTATAGCAACATATAAGTCATGATATCATAAAGAAAATTTGATAAAATATTTACTTCAAATCTGTGTCCAGGCCCCTTTAAGTAAGTTACATGTAACACATTGTAAAAATTTTGATAGCTCCTGTACATTTGGTTCCATATATGTAACCTTGAACATTATCTGAACATTATGCATGTACATATCGAATGTTTATCATTTTATCTACTCTACATCATAAAAGAATATCTGTTGTGTTAAGTACCATTTTTGGCATATTATTACATGTGTATGGTCGTACTTGTGCCGCATTGACGGCAGTCTAGAAAGAAAAAAATGGTTGAAAACTATTTCAATCTTTATCACGTGTTTAATATATTAAAACACGTGATAAAAATTATCTCATGTTAAATGATTGGATATGATTTTTATCTCAATTACTCGTGTTTTCAATCCCCTCACAATATAAACACACAAAATGTTCGATAAAAATCATTTTGAATCTCAAACGTCGGTATATTAATACATATTATATTTATTTATGTATACAATTTATCATATTTGCAAAAGAACATCTTGTTATTCAATGAACAAATATGTTTTATTTTACATTGTATACTTTGAGTAAGGACATTAACGTTACGTTTTGTCTTCCTCTGTCTCGTATAATAGCAGACAATGTGTAAAGTATTGGATTAATTGCTGAATTAATAGGTAGAACAAGCACGATGATCCAAGCGTAAATTTCCACTGTAACATCTATTCCAGAGAATGTCAGCATACCTATCATTATGAACAGAAAAAAAGATTATAGCTTAATATTTTTTGATAAACTAGTTGAGACTCAGAAGGTGTTGACCCCTTATAATACAATTATAGGACATATTCCTTCCTCTTTATTGGCTTTCATAATTTTTTGATACTATACTAGGGGTGATCAAAAAGTTTGCGAACTAATTGAATAACTTCCATTAAAGAAGTAAAATTAGGTTTCATTGTTTATTGTTACTTAAAGTAGACCTCTCCGATTACACCTCTACGATTACAATGCACATCTGCCACCACTCTGCCCATGCACAAATCACGTGATCCAGGCTGTCACGTGACATGCTTCGTAAGTTAAAAGATTTTTCCGAGTCTTATATCTCTTACCATGCCAGTTACTTTTTTTATAACAAGAATAATCAACTTTTCACAAATGGCCAAATCTCGGCAGTAGGATTGGTGGATAATGATATCATTTCCAAGAATGAGCATGGTGACCATAACTACCCGACTTCTTTGTCTTGGGTGCGACGTTTATCCATTGTGGATAAAGTATGGGCACCTTCTTTTTATAATATCTATATTTGAAGTCTAAAGTAAACGAAATTTTAGGGATTAAAAGCTATATTATTGTTAAGATATTCAATTATTTTTCTAACTGTGACTTGGCGATCTTTAATAACAAATTGCTCAGCTAGGGACACTTCTCTTTCCCATCTTACTTTTACTGGGTATCAGAACAAACATCATTTTTAACCATCTCCAGTCCTTCACTAAAACAATCAATCCAATTAATGATTGAACATTTGGAAGGTCTATATAAACCTTATATACATTATTATATGCTACTGCAAAGGAATTTCCAAGATATACGTTAAACTTTAAAGCCGTACAATGCTCGAGTACGACTAAGTCAACCATTTTTTGTCACAAGTCATCTACATATTTACGACATTTTCGCATTGTGAAGTCACAAACATGGAGCAAACATTACATAACATCTGCTATATATAGAACATGTTTATGACTATATGTGTGCCAAATTTTATTTTAATATTAATTGTGGTTTCGTAAATATAGAGATAGTTCGCAAACGTTATAATCACCACCCCTCGTATTTCCGTTCATCAATTAGAATGATGCACTTCCACTAAATGCTGAAATTAATATCGATTGTTTTTACTTAAATCCTTCTGTATTAAGGTCTGTCGACACGTTGCTCAATAATTTATAATTTTTTCCAAGAAATTGCCATCGAAGTTTTGCTACTTTCACAAGTTTCCTCATAAAAAATTGAGGTACCTTACCAAGCATTTGTTCAAGATACCAGAGGATGGTATTTACTATATTATCCTATTGGAACTCTTAAGATTTGCCAATATCAAAGTTTTTACTACTTACACATTTTAAAAATAGTTTAAAATCACAAGATAATGATAATTATGATACATTTCTTGTGAACTACATAAACAAAGGATATACAAAACAGATGTTAGAGCAACATGTCGTCAGACCTTAATGAACTATTTCGTGTTATTCCGGCTTTGGGTATTTCAATAATAATCTAAACATTTACATGTTAAATTTTAATGTTGTGCATGGTTTATACAAGAACTTACCAATTATTCCTATAGGTATCCAACACACAAGATCAGTGATGACAACAGCAAAAACAGACTTGGCCAGAGTTATTTCCCTTTGGCGTACGTTTGAAGCCTGACTACTGCTACCGGATTTCATAACCTCAGAGAGGATAAGAAATTGTCCGATAGTGATTCCGAGGAAAACAAGGAAGTTTAAGCCAATGAAAATGACCATTGAGTATTGCCAACCAAGCTGCCTATGGACAGATAAGGGAAGAGAAATACACACAGGAGATTGAGCGTAAAAATCTTCAAACATTGACGACTCTAACGGTAATATTGGAAACACAGATAAGGAAATAGCAATAACCCAAACCAATATAGATGATCCAATGACGCATAATCTATTCCTTTGTGAAAAAGGATTTTTGATGGCTACAACTCTGTCAATGGTTATCATTAAAACAAAAAGTGCAGATGCTTCACTAGATAATGTTGCAAGAATCCCTGCAAAGGTACAAAGAATACTATGACGCCATGTAAAATCCTCAAATCCATATCTCCCTGTATATACCAGATTTGTAATAGCGATAATGTATAAATAGACACCCATTAATAAGTCAGCCATGCTTAAATTTCTAGAGAATATAAAATATGCAAATGAAGACATTCTTCTAAATGTAGAAATGCTACAAACAATTGCAATAATGTTCCCAAAGGTGGCAAGAAGCGCTATATACCAAATGGCAACATTTAAGACAGGAACACCGATTAAATGTTCACAAGAAGATATTTCATTTACTGGAGCAACACAATGCACATCATAAATGCTTCGATTAAATGTTCACAAGAAGATATTTCATTTACTGGAGCAACACAATGCACATCATAAATGCTTCGAGGTTTCGCACAGCAGATAGAGAAAGTATCAACTTTAAGGAATTTTAGATTAAACAATCCCCAAAACATTCCATTTACAGACAGAATTCTATTGTTCTGAATGTACAGATTTTCTAAATGCTCCAAACCTAAAAACAGTCCTTCAGCAAAATGAGTAATGTTGTTGTACGACAACTCTAGAGTTTTTAGAGAATCTAAATTAGAAAACGACTTCTCATGAATAATATCTATCCTATTATAGTTTAAATACAAGTAATGAAGAGCCTTTAACGATTTGAAATAGTGCATTCTTACAATGGTGATTGAGTTATTTGAAAGGTCAAGAAGATATAATGATTTTAAGTGCTCAAATGCATTGTCTTTAATGTCTCGTATAAGATTACTCTGTAATTTAAGTATTTGTAATTGGACAGCATATACAAAATCTCCCTCTCTTATTATTGCAATCTTATTTGAAGAAAGGTCAATAAGTTTTGCTTTATCTGAACGTAAGCCAGTCTGGTTGATGAATTGTATTGCATTGTTTTGCATTGTAAAGTATTCACTTTGTATTAAGAGCGACGTAGGATTCCGAAAAGACAATATGTTGTTATTGTAACTTGTAGATATTTTAAAAAATCTTTCGAAGAAATAAGAGGAATGATAATTTGCCTGACAGAGTAATGATGCCTGAAACATTTTTGCATAAAAGACATATGAATAGTCATTGGGGGATATTTTCTGTTGCATATTTATATAATAATGAAAGGAAACTCTAAAAGGTGCTTGATTACATGCATTATCACATGCATGCAAACTTATGTCAAGATAGTTTTTAAAAAAGGATAAAATAGCTACAATGCTTTTTATCAAAGATGTTCCATCAAAAGCAGTGATATTAATTGCAAAGTGTTCATTTTTATTCACAAAGCGTAATTTTTTTAACGTGCAGTTTATTAACTGTAGCGTTTGTAATTGCTGTGATGCACTATTCCCCTGAATTAAGATAAGGTTTTCAACAATACTATCACGGATTATGATATGTTGTAAATTTGTTATATTTTGTCTAATAATCTCAAGAGACTTGATATCTGAATCTACTATGTTTAAGGAATAAATAGGAAGAAAACGGTTAGAACGAACAGAAACCTCTAAACATATAACACGTCGCCATTCAAAAAAGTGATAAAATTTTGCTTTGAATCTTGAACACTTTTTCCAGTATGACGATAGAAGACACAGATTTGGACCTTCATGAACACATGTGCATATTCTTGTATAGACAGCACATTTTTCACTGTTCTCTATATCTTTAGCATGTGTCAAATTTGAAATATTCTTGTTGCAAAAAAATCTCAGCATTTTAGCATGACCTGAGGTAGAATTAAACAGGCTAGGATTGGTTGCGGTGGAATTGTCAGTATACACCGAGTTGCTACAAGCACAACGCTCTGGATACTCCGTTCTTCCAATTACGATAGAATTGTTGAGGTTATAAGTGCCTGAAACAGTTATTTTTAAATTTTGATGTCGACGCATCTTCGACTACCATGTACTTGTGAAAAGCATTAACCATCAGTATAAGAAATGTTTTCATCATCGTTTGAAAGTAATAGAGACAAGAAAACAAACAGTTAAAATAACTTACAATTATGTTCGTCACTTCCGTCACTACAGTCTTTCTTTCTATCACAATACATGGTCCCGTTTATGCATTCTTTACTATCAAGGCAGCGGAAACCTCCATCATCGCAAAATACCGTAACTTCAAAATATATTAAAACATTGACGAGAAAAAAATTATAGAGAAGTTAACATTCTCCTATAATTGATATAAATATAATTTTGGAAACAATATTCAAGTTTCGCTTGTTTTTTAATCATTCGTTAGACCAATTGATGTATGTTGTTTTACGTCCCTTTTGAGAATTTTTCACTCATATAGACACGTTACTATATACCGGTGAAGGGCTTCAAATTTAGACTTTTACTCGGCACTCAGGGCCATTGAACAGTAGAGGATCTTTATCGTGCCAACGCCTGCCGTGACACGGGGCCTGGGTTTTTAAGGTCTCATCCGAAGGACCCGCAACTTTCACTTCAAAGTGCCGAGCGCATGGCGAAGGAACAGTTGCTACCTACTTTTTTTTATCGACTTTGATCAGTCGCAGCCGTGATTCGAACATATGACCTTCCGATCACGGAGCGAGCGCTCTACCAACTGAGCTACCGTGAAGGCTAATCATTTATTGGAAAACAAACATGTAAATTCAATTGACGTGCAATAATAAATGAAATACGTTGTAGAGTAAATGTAATTATTTTTTGTTTCTTTTAAGCTCTCTGCAAAGAAAGAAAAGTAAATGTATCTCTCTTTAATGAATAATTATCCTTGGTCTTTTGTATGTTTTGTAAGAATTTCGCATGGAACCCTGGTAGCGAAGGAATTCTGGAATGTTGCACCAGAAAATTTGCCTGACATATGTATAGATTTTATTCCGAATTTCCTCTGTTCTTACACCTCATTAATAGTCTACAAAGAGCCTTTTGGTATACAGATCCCAATGCATTTTCATAGCATTTGAATTTCAGTGTGTGTGGTTACTGTATAGTATACAGTTTCAAGGTACAGTGTCATGAGCTTGTAAACATGAAACATCAATGCTATTATCAAAACCCTGTCACACAAAATCAAGAGACACAAAATAAATCAAACGTCCAGAGTATGTTTGCAAAGTAGGTCAAAGGTCAAGGTCAAGTTGATTGTAACGGTGGTAATTTTCATGTTGTTTTATTTCAAACAGTGCACATACTAAATAGCATGTAAAGTGATCCGTAAGTGCATCTCTGGGGCCCGTTTTACAAAAGAACTTACGACTAAGACCAACTTATAATTCCACTTATTACTTTTTTGGAACATTAATTTGAAAATGGTTTTAATAGTTTTAAAAAGAATTTAGAAAGATACGTTCATGACATAAATTTTAAATAAAATAATCAATTTAGAAAATTTTTACAATCAATGAAAGTATTTGGTCTTAGTCCTAAGTTCTTCTGTAAAACGGGCCCCAGATCTGCAGGGCACACAAAAAATGATTCAATAACTGATATATATTTTTTGACGTATTATAAATAATAAAAAAAATTGATGAAAACTTTCGATTATTAAAGATTTATAGGAGATGTGACATTACCCTTGGATCCACCCTCGTTTTTCTTTGTATACGTTGATCCCCTGTTGTGGCCTAACCCTTCCCCCGGGTACCATGTTTTGAATAAATTTGAATTTAAACTAATTGAGGATGCTTCTTTATTTATGACTTATTATGGCCTTGCTGTTCTTGAGAGGAAGATATTTAAAGTTTTGTAAAGATTTTTTTTTAATTCCTATGTATAATTTTTAACCTCTGTTGTGGCCCAATCTTACCCCAGGGGTCATGATTTGAACAAATTTGAATCTGCACTATGTAATGAAGCTTTCACATGTTTCATCTTTTCTGGCACATTGATTCTTGAGAATAATTTTTTTATAATGCCATTTATTTTTCACGAATTCTGTATTGCACGTACTTCCCTCTGAAAAAGGACATGTCCCTTCATTTGAAAAACTTAAATCCCCTTCAGGCAAGGATGCTTTGTGGCAAGTTTGATTGAAATTGACCCTGCGCTTCTTAATAAAAAGTCAAAAATGTGAAAATTTACAGACGACAGGCGAAATACGACAAATAGACGCCAGACACCCTTCGATCAGAAAAGCTTTCTTGCGCCTTCGGCTCAGGTGAACTTAAAAGGTGTTGAAGATGAGAAATGCTATTTGATGTAATTATTTACTATTTTTATCATACTGGTTTGTTTATCCATTTTTCACATAAGATCATGTAACACTATTACACTTGACATGAGGAATCTATGAAAAATAGGCTGCAACTCACCTGAACAACCACCACTGCTAATATATATGTCGTCTAAAAAAGCAAAATCATTTCTACTCCGTGTTGCCATAAGCGTTGCCTGGAAAACAATCTGAAATAATGCGGTTTTTGAGATAAACTAATATTTAATAAACTGTAGATCTGTTTATTTTGTTAGTAATATCTCCATTTTTGTTCACGCGTAGCGGAGGAAAAAGGAGGGGGGGGGGGTAATTTTGATTGTTGACTTATGTCCCTTGCAAATAGAGGGCACATTTTAGCTCATTCTAAAAAATTGTAAATTAATAGCTGGACAAGTCCAGAATCAATTTATTTTTCAACTTCCCACCCTGAAACAGATTTAGATATTAAATCATATAAAATTTGATATGCAAATAGTTTGTTTGGCAGTTGACATTTTTTCCTAAGATTATTTTCAAGTATATTTCCCTGTTTGTTGGACCATATAATTGTGGATATTAATAAATTTATTTTGATTGTGATGCTTCATGTATATGTATATCTTGTTTATTACTTTTTGTATCTATCATAGCATAATTTCTCTTATTAACATTAATAAATGACATTTTTCACACCAACAAAAGATTTTGCTACTCAGTTCTACTATAAAGATAAAGATCACACACTGTGTTGTTAAAAAAAAAATTAGATTTATACAGACATCGAACTTAAACAAGCAGAACTATGCCCATGGACCTTGATATTTATCTGATAGGTATGCGTTTCACAGATTATGCCGGGTACTTATGTTCATTCATATATCAAAAAATATCTTAAAATGTTATTTTATACCTGATAATAAATCTTTTTACATATT